GACAGGCTTTTTAGCCATTATTTTCACAGTCTGATTGCACGAGGGTGTGAAGTGTGTGATTGTGTGTAGATGGTGATGTTTGAGCCCATACTATCATACAATATGAAAGATTGGGACGAGGGATACATAACTAACCTGCCTGAGTGGAAATGTAAAAGCACACAGAAAACTCGATTTCTGAACGGCATGATCACATTAGTTACTGATGGGCATCACTCGAGAATGAAGTCGGGCTTACGGAGGCCAAGAAGGTCAATCAAACGGATGAACCCTGAGCAATGCCCATCTTAGTTTAATCCTCTAAATATATAAGTCATAATCCTGACCCTATACTTTGGAAAAAGAAATGTAAGCAATATTTGATGTGTATCTTTGTTTCACGAGTGCCTACATACAGGAGCAGAGTTTAATGAAAACAAAAATGACATTCTGATGTCATAAGGTTAAAGTTGTCACTGACATCTACTTAAACTATGTGTATCTGTGTACACTTAATTAAACCTCTGCATTGACTCTTTGTAGAGCCTAAGAAAGTGACCATCTCCATTTTCAGTATTGATACCTGTGCAGCTGCGTCAGTGCTGATGTGTAATGTCGGGTTTCAAAAGGGTTTGCAGCTACGATGTACCAGCGTTTTAGATTCAACGCAGAATCAGAATACTTTAGAAGTGCCAGGGGGAAAATGTTTTTTTTATAGATGCTCACCTAATATATCAATGTGAAAGCTAGATAATGTAAACTGTATAAAAAGTAAAACTAATTAAATATTTAAAAGTTGATACAATGTACAGTAAAAACAAGATATTGCAACTACACAGAACTATTAAAAGTCTCTTACACCTACGAGTGCTGAGAGCGATGACTTTTCAACAACACAGGAGACAAGAAAATACTGTGGTTGCAAGAATGACTACTGTGAAATTCATATTGTTATAATCATAATTTCCTGTTCCAAAGACCTTGCAATGGGTTCACGCCTGCAGTGATAAAAGAGAGGCTTAAATTTAAGATCTTAGATTATGCCTAAGAACTTAAAAATTCTCCCTTTTTAAAAATAAAAACTATGAAATTGGTCTTTCAAATAGGAGCTGTTTTTTGTTTTGTTTTGATTTTTTAAATCGAGTAGCCTCTCTCCCACCAGTAGGAAAATCATTTATAAACAGATTCAAAAGTTGTGGCCCCATGACTGAGCCCTGGGAGACACCCATTATTTCAGAGTTGCTCATTTTTCAGCTCTCACACAGCCTCCTTTCTAAATAACAAATAACCAGAATAACAGGCCGCGTCTCTTGTGTTTTCTGGTACATTTATGTGGAACTGGGTTTTGATTTGCAAGTTTGAATGAGACAGTGCAAATCTGATCTCTTTCTGAAAGTCATTCATTATCAGAATATTCAAATGCTTCAAGTATTGTTTGGTTTAGTTTCCAACAACACTTGTGCATGTGTAATAAATCTCCAGTCAACATTTGGGGAATGACAGATTTTTGATCCACTGGTGAAATCTACACAGAAAACTGAAACCACATGTTGGGAGGAAAGATATATTGTGCAATCATTTAAACAGTCTCAAGTGCAATCTGCAGTATTTTCAACACACTTTTTCTCCAACTTCAACAGGCTTCCATGTCCGTGCTGTTTCTAAAAAAAAGAAACAAGAATCATCACCTTATTATTCATTCAGATGAGATCAAAGAATACTTCTGAATAATCTGGGTTTGATTCCTCTGTTTTTCTCTCTCACAATATTCTCTCTGTGTATACGTCCGTATGTGTTCCTTCGGGGGGGAGGATGCCGATCAAAGCGCTGTCTTGACTGTGAATTCCTCAAATAAAACAGACTTGTAAGATTGTTTAATAACCGTGCACAGTAAACAGGGAGCTAGGCCTTATTTTGTATGCTCCTAATGTTAAATTTGGTTTCATTCAGTGACCATCATAGCCATTTTTCTTCATCAAATGTCCTGAAATGAAGTAGAATTGCACAGATTTCTGTCCAGCGAGGTAACAAAGTCTCACTGCCTTCACTGTGCACGGACATGTCATGCTTATGTGAATAGTCAATCCACAAATTCCAATTCTGAACCAGGAAAAACTGGCTCCTGTTCTGCATTTCTTCTTCGCATCATTTTGTTATCCCTTTGCATTGTGATCTCTCTCTTTGTGGTTGTTTTGCATGTTTTTTGGGTCTCTGTAGTTGTTTAACATCTCTTTACAGTTATGATGCACCTTAGGTGAGTCATCCTGTTTCTTCTTGTGACAGTTTAACCCCTTTATGTATCATCTGTGTGTCTCTTTGCAGTCATGATCTGTGTTTTTAAGTCACTTTTTGCATGTGACACCCTGGGCAGTAGGACCCCAGTAGGACTGGAATTCAGCAAATTGCTTTTTGCAAGTATTATATTTAATGCTATCAGTTCATTGAAAGAAAGACATTAAAATGACATCATGTTTTTCATATGGTGAGTTATGTTGGAGCCCATGATCCCTGCGAGGCCTGGTGCCCCAAGGCCGAACACAGCCAAGGGCAACCCCTCAGCCTGCAGGGTCAGGGTAAGTGAGGGGCATGAAAATTATGGCTGTGTTTTTCATGGTTATCTGATAAACACTGTAAGCAACATTAAGCAAAGCAACATTAATTAAGTGCTAAAAATACCAAAGAGTTCTTTAGCAAACACAGAATCAGCTTTCAGCTCAACAGGCTGGTTGATATTTGGCTGCCCTCTAGAGGCCAAGAATATTACTCTTTCAGGTCTGTTGATTCCAAATTGCTTATCACTTAATTCTTGATCCTCTTTGAAAGAGTCCCTGCTGATTAAAGTGGATAAAATGAGACTTTCCAAATATTTGTTTGACAGGAAAAAAAAAATCAAATGTTTAATTTCTAAAAATATTCTTTTGTGGAAACAGTAAGTACACCTTTGGTATTGCCCATTTAGCTGATATAGCTTCTTGTAGGCATAAGTGTTAACATGTCTCTGAAATGCACATGAAAATTTTTGACCGCTGTCACATGTAAAATCTGTTCAGCTGCATAATTTGCGAAGCTTTCACCCACAGCTGCCTGCTGTAATAAGGTTCGCTACATTTGTTCAAATAGATTTTTATCCTCATGTACCAAAAGTGTCTAAGAATGTTTAAACTAATCTGAAGTTTTAACATATTACAAAGGGAAAAAAGTCCTTTGGTTAGTTTTGTACATGATACTCATTTTAATTGGAAAACCACCCCATGCTTTAATGTTGTTGAGATATAATCAATAATGTGCAAAACAGTGGTTCAGCTTCTTCTCCTATCAGCTTATCTGTGGTGAACCGTTGTACTACTGTGCAAACTGAGTGAAAGTGCATAGTGAGGGGGTGTAGGGGCTGCATTGGAAATGGGCCAGTCTCTCTTTGTTGAGGTCCTGGTAAATGTTTTACAGGTTTAGGGTTACAGAGTTGTGGTTCAACTTTGAACAACAAAGATTTACTTGGGTTGTTTTGCTCCTTTCTTAAGATGCAAGAGAGGTTTAATACTTAATTTTTATTTTATTTAACCAGGAATGTCCCGTTGAGATCAAAAACCTCTTTTTCAAGGGAGTAATGATTGTTAGGTTGACAATACTAGTTGTATTTTAATTTTTTATTTTTTATTTTTTTAAACTTTCTGGAGCCTTTGAACTGCACTGATGTTCGCTTTAACTAATATGAGTATATCCACCCTAGCAGTGCAGACAGCCAGATTGGAAACCTGCAACTGTTCATTTCATATTTACTTCAAAATGAAACAGTCTTGTGTCTATCACCTTACAGAGCTAGAGAAAGATTTTCTGAAACTTCACTGTGTCTGCAGTTAGAGTTAGACCAGATCAGTTAGTTGGTAAGATCTTATTCCACTTGCCACCGAGCCTGTTGAAATGTTTGAAACGATGCAGGAAAGTTTGCAGTTTGTTTTCTGACAATTCTGGGCTTCATAACTGAAATAAATTGAAAACAAGCGATCAGAGTGACAAGTCACACCTGATAAAAGCTGCTATTGTCAACACCAGACTGCAACAGACTTTTTGCTTAATTGAGCAGAAACACAGAGAAGTTTAGGAAAGCAGCTGAAAAACACCATTACCAAAATAGTCCAAAGAAAGTGCAGCAAATGAGTGGTATTCATTAACTACTTACTTAAATTAACTACCTGCCTAATAATTTGCAGTGGATACTGTGGCTTCCTATCTCTGGTTATGGATTAGGTAGATGTGGATGCTTGTTTAGATTGGGATTTGCATAGTTTCAAGGCTGGATCTGGAGGTGTTTTTTTTAAAGCAGTGTTTCCAGGACTTTCCTGCTGGACAGGGAGCCCTGACATTGTTCTGCTGTTGGAGTGCTGCCTATGTGTGCGTCCAGTCTGTAGCAGTTCTTAGCTGGCTGGTATATGTCGCTATCTCGTGAATGTGTCAAAGTACACATTTACACATGACAGGCAGAACCAAAGATTTTTATTGCATCAGGTGCTTTATCTTGTAATGGCTATATTACAAGGTGGTGGGTGGTAGGTAGATTTCAAGGCCAGTGAGAGTGGTTGGGCAGACCTGCTAACAGGAAGGCAGAGAAGTGATCAGGAGGAGCAAGGGAGAACCAATATTTCTTAAAGTGTGGATACCAGCAAACTCCTTCTGGTGTTGAGCAGACACAGTGACTTTATTCATTCATTTAAGATTTCATTGTTGCTTAGCATAAAGATCTAACCTGTAGTTCTTGTATGAGCCAAGTTGTAGAGGTAGGCATACGTATGCTGGCTTTGTCACTTGAATCGACAGGAATTGCTGCAGTATCCTCTCTCTTATCACAAATTCTACAAGAAACCAGCAGGACTGCTAGGGGACAAATCATGGTATCAGTCCTAGCAGAATAATTACAACACAGCCTGCCAAGTAAAGCAAACATTTATATTATTAGGCTGCGCTGTGTAAATCTTAGCTAGACACACTTCATACAGACTTTAATGACATAAAAACCAATAAAACAAGAAAAACCAGGAGTCTCACAAACCAATCTGTTTCATGCCATTTTATTTATCCATGAACACAGTTGCTTTTTTAATTTTTGCTCATATGAATTCATATGAACGTCCACAGAGGAATTCACTGAACTATTTAAACTGATTGTAGTGATACACTACTGGATTTAATGTTGCTGGAAGAAGCACAGTGGTCTTATGGTGGGGAAACACTCATGACCGCCCGGATGCTGTGGAAAGAAAGGAAAAAAAACAAAACAAAACTGAGTTTCACTTTAGCAAATAATAACTTTTGTGTTTTTCTTCAGCTGTGAAAGGCAAATCTACCATTTGCAGTTCTTCATGAGTTCAATGGCATCATTGGCTTGATCCAAAGTCATGTTCTGACTAATAAACTCGTCCACTTTCAACTTCTTGTCCAGGTAGTCTTTAACCATCTTGGAGACGCCGTCCTTACTCTTAAATCCTGAATCACAAGATTAAAATAAGAGCCACATTTTAGAACATGTAAACTTAAAGCTCCTTTACTTGCGATTCATCACTCCGTGATAATAGTTATTTGTGGGGACGTAACAGTCTAAGGTCTAGGGGTAGGTGTGGGGAACAGTAGAAACAGGACCAGGAAAGAACGAGAAGGAAGCCAAACAAAGCAGTGTGGTGAATATTAAGTTCTTATTATGAACAATCCCAAGTCAAAGAGATTGTTCTTATTAATAAAGCGGCGTTGCAAAAAAGACAAAGGTCACAACTCAGTCTTATGTGTCTTAAGAAGGTGGAAGAACAAACAAGCACCAAGGAATAATGCACTTCTAAAGCCCACAGGCCCACCCTAATCACTTGTAGCAGCACACACCTTACTGCTGCTGGAGCCCACACTACTCACTGAAAGCAGTAAACCTCCCCACTACTCCCACAACTACACTATAGCACCTCTCCATTCCCTAACAATCAGTGCAACGACAAAGAGAAAACCCACCCCACACACTTCTTCTCTAACCCTATATAAGGTCTGAGAGTTAACTGCTGACTGGGTCCAGGTGCTGAATGAGGGAATGAGCAGCAGCTGTATCCTGGAGCAAGGGCAGAGAGAGAAAGAGAGCAACACCACACCCACACACTCCCACAGCCTCACAGGATGTAAAATAGACTGATCTCACCTCCAAACATGGAGCCCTTCCACGTACGTCCAGAGATGAGGTGAGCCGGTCGAATAACTATGTCATGCAAGTCTGTCCATCCAACAATCACACTGACACCCCAACCTTGGGCTGAAGACTCCAGGGCACTGCGCTAGATGGAAAAGGGCACAGAGTCAGTAGATCAAAGGGCTTCTTCAATGATTAAAATCAATTATTACATTTTAAATGCTAAGGAAAAAAAAAGTATGCTTGGTTAACTTTATTTCATGCTCCATGTTCTTAAACCACATTAGATTAAATCTCCCTACCATGACTTGCACATTCCCAACACATTCCAATGAGTAGTCCACGCCTCCATTGGTCATCTTAGTGAGCACTTCATGGATAGGTTTATCGTGATCTTTGGGATTCACAAAGTCGGTGGCTCCAAACACTTTGGCCTTCTCAAACTTGTCTGGATTGACGTCAACGGCGATAATCCTTTTGGCTCCTGCAGCCTTGCAGCCCATGACTGCAGCCAAACCCACAGCTCCCAGACCAAACACAGCACAGGTGGAGCCCGGCTCAACCTACAAGATGAGAGACTTAGTCACTTTGTGCTGGGTATAGTAAAGTTCTAATATATAGAAACATAATGAATGGACATATTCTGTATCTTCTAATGAGTGGTAACTCTTGCCAAAGCATTTCAATCTTGATGAGAATTTCTATTGAAAAGATTTTAGTTTTAAGTCAAAAATGGCTCAATTTATTGTTGTGATTTGGGGCTATATAAATAAAATTGAATAAAATTGACCATATGGTCACAAAATGGTAACCTTTTGTGACCATATGGGTGGCGCTTGTATTCACTGAATAAAAAGCTGCAAGGGAAGGCTGTTTCTTTGAAGTTGGCTAGGAAACAGGTGAGCAGCGTTCAGCTCCAAGAGCCTGGTTCCAACCGGCCTCAGTTGCTAACAAGTAAAAAAAACGGTTCCATCGTTGTCTTGCTTTCTTCCGGGGTGATGAGTCTCTGAACTAGCTGGTCTGAAGCGCAGACCCAACACCTGTACCTTTACGATCTCTATTCTTCACAACCTCACCTTTCCACCTGTCTCTCTCTCTCATCCACACACATGTATTCTGTCTTGGTTCTGTTGATATTTATTCATCTTCTCCCCAGAAAGTGCCTCCACCACTACAAGCTCACTCTCACCTGTTTCCTACTCTCACTACAGATCACAACGTCATGTCCAGACATCATAGCGGAGACATGAGGTTGAGATACGAGGCGTGGTGCTTTGTATTATAGATTTAAAAAAAATCTCGTGGCCTTGTTTGTCTGAAGGACATTGTTCCAGATAACTTCCTTGTTCTTTATAGAGAGAAAAGTCTTTCTACTGCCAAATTCTCGAAACAAGCTCCACTTATTGAGTCTTTTTTTTGTTTTTTTAATTGTGCTGTCATAAAGTTTAGCATTTATAGTTGAGGCCAAAATTATTAGCCCCTCCAGGAATTAAGGCACATTTATCTAAACTTCTTCCCAATGTTTGCAGCATTGATAAAACTTGATATAATTAAAAATTCACCAGTGCTATTTGGTAGCTTCTGGTACATTTTGTAATATAAAATATATTTTTAGGCTTACTTTTTACCATTGTTGCAACAAGACAATGACCCCAAACATACATTGAAATTAGTCCAACAGTTCCTCAAGGATACTAAAACCAAGATCCTGGAGTGGCCCGCACAGACCTCAATCCTATTAAGAATCTGTGGCAAGTGCTCAAAGTGAATGTCCATGCTTGGAAACCATGCAAGCTAGAACAATTTGCAATGGAGGAATGGAGACAACCAAGTAAAGACCTACTCTAAGAGACTGTTGTCAGTTGTGCCTCAGAAAGCGTACAGTACTGAGAAATTATGGCTAATAATTTTGGATGTCTCATTTTTGCCCTTTCAACTCGGTGTATCAATAAAATATCCTAATTAAACTTAGTGAACATTGTTATATTGGAAACGGACACACTATGAAAAAACACTTGTTTTTAATTAACGGTCATTTTCATATTGAAATTAATAATTTTGGCCTCAACTGTAACATGCTATCTGCAGTCTGTAGAATCTGAGATGCAGCGCCTGTTTTTTTTTTTTTCCCAGTTTCTGTAGGGTGACATTCACTCCAGTCAAGATTTTGGCATTTTGCTAATGTACACCTGAATCCTCCAGACCAGCAAACACTCAAAACTTCTGCTTCTGCTCTTCCCAGATTGGTTTAAAGTGCCCTGATATGTCATAGGGCCTCTACAGACACACTTAAAAGATTTAAGCAGCAACAACTGCAGGGTTCACTTCCAAAATCTGGAAAAATTATGTATGAACGTCTTAATACTTCTCTGAAAGAGAGAACAAGAGCTTTTCCAATTCCCAAATCCAAGCCCAAATTACAAACCTTAGCGGTATTAACAGCTGCCCCATATCCAGTGCAGATCCCACATCCAAGAAGACAGACTTTGTCCAGAGGAGCAGCAGGATCAATCTTAGCCACAGCCATCTGATTGATCACAGTGTACTCAGAGAAGGTGCTGGTCCCCATAAACTGCAGCACCCTCTTCCCTTTACAGGTAAACCTGGATTCCACTCCAGCCATGATGGCCTGATTAATCCTGGTCCTGAACAAGAGAATTTATGCTAAAATTAAAAACAACATTTTTTAAAGGCACGTGTCCAATGCTCTAACAGCCTATGAACAAAACTGAAGATAAAATGGATCACAGGAGATGAGTGCTCACCATGCTACCTCACACTGGTTGGTCCTGGGATTCTTACATAAGTGGCATTCTTTACACTGAGAGAGGAAAAGAGGAATCACCTTGTCTCCTAAAAGAAAACAACAGTGAAACCAAACAGAATATTTCCCATGCTTCTTTTTAGAGGCTTTGCTGATGCTGTTATTGTTGAGCTGCGTGACCTCAGTCGATGGAGAATATCTACTTAATTTACTGCTAAGTATTATGATTGAGTGGCCTGGACCACAAGATCCAACAGCTTTAAACATTTAGTTGTACAAAGCTGCCAAAAGAGAAACTGCAAACATTTAGATCGTAAAAAAAGACTTACTGGTTACTGTATTTTTTTCCCATCCCATTAAGCAGACATGTACTGTCTTGGCTGTAAACACATGAAACTGACAGGACTCTTAGGAATTCAAAACTGACCTGGCTGAAATTCCGTAACTCCAGGCCCCACGCTCTCAACGATGCCGGCTCCCTCGTGGCCGAGGACAGTTGGGAAGCCATCTTTATGCATACTCTCGAAAAGATGGTACAGGTCTGTGTGGCACACCGATGTTGCCACAATCTGCACAAAAGCTAATCATTAAAGACTGTAAACACTGACATGCTATCCAACCTTTCAATAAACGGACCTTCCAAACTGCATGGAGCAAGTTGTTTTTAACACAAGGACAAAAAAAGTTATAAAATTGTAATAAAACAAACACAGATATGTGTGTGTCTTGAAGGTGGACATCTCTTACCTTGATGCGAACCTCATTGGCTTGAGGTGGGGCGACCTCAATCTCCTCAATCACTACGGGCTTGTTGGGCTCCCAGGCCACTGCTGCCTTGCACTTGATGACCTAAAAGGCAGTGACAAAAAATCAAGTGTGACATATGCTACAAACACTTCCTGAAATTCTTTAATTTAATATTGTCATCTGAAGTGTGACAACCTATAATCTGAAGTGCATTCACATGAACCTGCCACAAGATAAGTCTTTTCGAGTGCTATGAAGTCAAGAGAACGACCACACACACACACACACACACACACACACACACACACACACACACACACACACACACACACACACACAACACTTGTGTGTGT